AAAGAGTATCCTGGAGACAAGACCATCTTTGCTGTGGAGATGGTCTTTTGGACTCTAGTTTATATTCCAAATATCTACAACTAGAAAAAATAAGCTGTGAATGGACAGTTTTACAATTACTTATATGTCCTTGAAGACCACAGCTAGGAACAAAATACTTTTTAAATGAGTTGCTGGTATATAAAATTATGGGACCTATCACCTATTCAAATTGTGAATATCAATATTTTCTTAAGTAGACAATATCTTGTGTTTGACAAATTTGTTTGTATTACAATAAATTATGAGATGGTGCATAACTTACTACTGTGTTTAGAGCTACTGCTTAATTTACAGCTTCTAATCTTTTTGATTTATAGGTATTTATGATATACTACAAATCAGACTAGTCCTTGGCAACCATTACATATAAAAAGTCTGAAATGTAAGATATATAAATTACTACTGGCTCAGTTCTTAATTTTGAACCATAAGTGAATTCTTCATTTTGAAGTCTCAGCTGTTGGAAATTAATTTTCAATGTTAAAGTCCACTAATCTCTCTTCCAAAGACTGGTGGAAAGTTTGACCTAAGAAAATTTACACCCATCCAAATCAAGTGTGGTGCCAGGAAATCTGGATTGCTGCCCCTGGTCACTGCAAGTGAGGAGATACCCAGTCACCCCCAGGAGAGCAAAACACGTAACCCTAATTATCACCATCAATGATAGAACTAATGGCATAAGCAAATAGGCTTTACTTGGTCACAGGAACTGCAGCAAATGAGACAAATGACAATTTGAGAACACAATGGGACATTAAAAAGGAAATCCTCCCAATCCACTCCACTGTAGATGCACAGATCCACATTTTATTGGCTGGTCCCTTCCATCTTTGCAAGTCCTTCCATTCTGCAAAGAAGGAGACCAGAATTCTGACAAAACACTTGGCTAGAGATGAGCATCCAGAGCCCCTAGCCCCATCAGCTGGTCCAAACATTATAGATTTCATGTTACTGTAGGGTATTTTATCTGTTTCCCTTATGAAATACTGCACTTACAAATCTATATATTGTTAAGTATCTAAACATGATAAATTATACCTATCATCATAAATAGAAAGTGAAAAAACCCTATTATGAGAAAATACAAAATACACAAAAGTGATTTCAGAACCTCAGGCAACTGCATGTGGAAAAAGCCCAACATTTCTTCAAATGAAAAATACTAAGGCTCTGCCATACCCCAGTCAAATGCACAGTTTTGTGGGATCAAGCTCATAGGTTTTCTGGAAAAGTAATAAGATGTTAAAAATTATTAAAGGTAAGAGGAGTATGGAATAGAGAAGGAACTCCTGATCAGAAAAGCCCAGTGTCTTGGAGATCAAGAAATACAGGGTTAAACATGCAAGAGGAGAGGGTGACCCAGGTAGTGCCAGAACCACTCCTCAGATTTCTCTCCTGTGAAAGGCTTGGGAACAGATTTTAAAGGACAGCATCAGAGAGAAATGGAAGGGAAAGGAGCACTGCTGAAAGGGGCAGCGTCAGATTTGATGGAGTTTATCAGGACTGCTCCTTATAGAGGCAACCTGGGATTTGCCTGTCTCTCTACTTTCATTAACGGCTGCAGCATAAGAAGTACTGATGAAATGTACAGATTATTTAAAAAGGCATTGTACTGCTGGAGGTGCACTGAAGGAAAGGTATTTCATGTAAGAACCAGATGACCTTGAAGAATCAAGTTATAAAAATGGGATGAATTCAACACTAATAAATACA